GGGGGGGGTCATAATGGCACATGGAGCCTATTTGGAGACCATTTCTTGTCTTCCAGTGCTGTATGGTTCTCATTATAATGATAATATCCAGCATTTATGTAGCTATTTACATCTTTCACATGCCATACCAACAACTAATTAATCCTCACAACACCCTGTAGGGTAGGTAAGGATTATTATCCCCATTTTATAACTGGAGAAATTGAGACAGAGAGGTAACAGTGACTTGCTGGAAGGCACTTAACAAGTTTAAGGCAAAGCTCAGATGAAAACACAGGGGTTGCTGGGCCCCAGAGCCCTGTCTCAAGAGCCAGCACCTGATTTTAGAGCCACTGCTTCAGCCAAACCCATCCAAATAGCCAACATGAGAGTTTCCATTAGGTGCCCAAGGCATTTCAATCCCAGCACTGAAAGAGCTTTTGCAGGCTCAGCCTTGGAGCTGCAAGACCCCACTGGGCAAATGCCCTGAGCAAGCTGGTCTGGTCTAATGGATGAGCTTGCTTTAGGCCAGATGTTGGGTTTAAGGGAGCCTCAATGATGTGATTTTATGAAGCAGGTGTGTTCTGGGGGGTTACAAGTTTTGCAACACTTTTTTTCCATCTGGGTTCTTCCTACAGGTGGTCTCATCTCCACCTGGCCTTTGGCAGGTGACCCCACAGGCAGCACTAGGTCTGTGCCAACATAAATGGATAAATGTAAGGCCATCAAAGGCCAGTTAGCAAAATATAAAGTCTGTTCTGTAAACTATTTCCCAGCTTGTATCCACATTTAACATCACCACTAAACAGAATTTTCATGAGAGAAGACAGCATCCAGGTTTTCTTCCAGGTCCACACTCTGTGTTAGAGGACAGGAGAAGTTCTGTCCACATGCAGCCCCATCGCTGTCGCCTGCTCTGGATTCAGGGCCAAATAAGAAACCGGCAGGAACAATATAAAATCTCTTGAAATGCTTCTCTGCCTATTGCCCCTCCTTGCTGCAGGATCACAGCTGAGATTAAAGCTGATAATCCGTTCTCCTCAGCAGTAGCTGGTTATTTAGAGGCGCTCAAGTTCCTTTTGGGGAAAAAAATGAACAGTTTCAAAAACTGCTGGGTATCCTGTGGTTCCTACTAAAATGAAACTGAGCTGTTTGGGAACTTTTGTTATTTCATTCTGATGCCTAATGGGAATGGTTGGATGCAAAATTGTTTCAGGAATTGAGCCTTAAACATGCCTATCAACTCCCTTGCTCTCCCATAAAAGAGTGTTTGTATCCTTTTACATGTAGTTCATCAAACAGGAGGAATTACAACACTCTAACTGCTGGAAGAGAAAATCAGCAGCCATGTTGTCAAGCAGAAGCCAAGAGAGGAGGGTGCACTGAGAGCAGACACCACCAAACACTTAAGTTTTGCTTTTACAGACCCATCATACAGGTTAAAAGCCTGGTTCCCTGCTCACAGCCCCTTCCCTTAAGAAGGGGTTTGACAGATGAAGTGTGGTATTGGTCACCTGTCACCTGTGCTTGCAATCCCTCAAGGAGAAAACAGTGGATATCAGTAAGTTGTACCTGATGTTGCAGCTGGTTTATTCCCAAACCTGACCCCTACACACACACACTATTTTGTACTGAACCCCATTGCCTAAAGAGTAAGGACACCCCAAGAGCATCCAAAAGGAGCATGTCAAAGACATGAGTTTGTACAACAAGAACTTCGTTCTCCTACTTCTCTTCCTCTGTGCTTTTCCAGGAGTGTAGCCAAAGCCTAACCTGTATTTAATGTTCTCAGAAGCCACATTTAGAAGCCTGTATTTATCCAAGCAGGGCTGGCTGTCAGACACTTGTGGCAGACAAGGTTCCCTTCACTCTGTGAGGGTCAGTTTGAGCAACACACCGAGGCCAGCTCCTCTCTCCCAGCCCCTGGACACGTCCCCGTGGTGCTGCAGCAGGGGACAAAAGGCTGGCCATACACAAGTGGCAGAGTTGGTGCAGCAGCAGTTTCTCTGGTTCAGCAAGAGCGCAGCAGGGTAATGTCAGAACCCTTTTAAACCACTAAATATACACCTGTACCAGGCTCCCCCACACAGCTCCCACACATCAGTGTCCACGGGGGTCACGGCTGATTACAGACAGCAACACACACAAAGCTGCTCCAGCAAAGCCTTTGTGAGAGTTATTAAGATGTTGACAATATGAGAATCAGATGAATTTACCACTGCTTCAGTAATTGTCTTTCATATATGAGCAACCCCCTACATACAACTTTTATGATTCATCATATTTATTTTTTGTTTCCTCAAGCAACATCTTTTATTAGTTGCACACTCACTACAGAAATTTAATTTCTGCAAGAGAACAACAAAGCAGTTGATTATTATTATTGAGAATCTGGTACAACACAGAGTGAAATAAAATCTATAAGGCATTAAAATGACAGATTAGGCAAGAGCTGTATTCATTTACAAGTGTTAGAACATCATGTTAATGCCTCACAAGCACAACATAAAATGAAAATCAACTCTTTCATGCTGCTTTACTAATACTGCAAAGCTCCATGGAGCACAAACAGTAGTCCCTGTTAAAGAGGCACTGTCCTTTTGTAGTTTTTACAGGCAGTGGGTTTATCATTAACACTTGACAGAAAACTCTTACAGTCCATATTAGCCATAAACTTGACATTTCAACCACTTACGGATTTAAAGATGATTATTACCCATCTCAGCCAGACCAAGTGTATTAAGTATATGGCTGTCCCTCAATGAAACTTTAAAATTCATGCACAAAACCTCTTTGGTTTAAGATGTTCATTAGGAAAGCATTATATTAAAAAATTCACTTTTCAGAGTCACTGCAAGGCTACTATGGCCAGATTTCCATTCATATGAAAATCTGCCTGCAGCTTTATTTACTACCAAAATCTCTAAACAAAGTGACAGGACATGCAAATAACAAGAACTGAAATATTCTCTCTACTCACACCAATCCCATCACTGGGAAATGCATTTGATGGTGTTTGTAGTCTTTTGATCATATTCTGTGTTAGTAAAGTCTTGATTTTCCTGGACATACCACTATTATTTTTGCTTCAACTCATACCTTAGCTTCAAATTTGGAAAATGTTCCCCTGCTTTGGAATATGATGCTGTTTGTTCAAGTCTTAAGGAAAGGAAATCCATGGTCTTTGTTTAGTAACAACCAGATGTACAACTTGTTCTAATTTGTTCCTCAATACATCCTCAACGATTTTGTAAAACATTTTGAGGGATGTTTATACTCAAAAGGACACCTGTCACTCCTACAGAGAGCACAGCAGTATCAGCACAAATGTCAACAGAGCAGGAAAAGGTTTTAACAGGCTGGAGAAACAGATTTCAGATTTAGGTGCCCATGTCTCCCTTGCTGTGGCCACCAAAGTTGCCATGAGTGTCTCCTGCCTGCCCAGAACTTTAACTTTGGAATAAAAGCACCCTTTGGCCAAGTGCAGAGGAGCACAGGACAGGCCTGAGCCCTGGAGAAGGAGCAGGTGTGTGGCAGATGATCACAGGAGGGAAGACGAGGAAGGAGAAATGGGCACAAGATGTTTTTCTCCACACACACAGTTGGTATCCAATTTCCACCTCTTGTTCCACCACTCTGGGTTCCAGCCACAAAGGGAATAAAGCACAAGGAATAATAGCAGATATAATAACACACAGGTAGCAAATTAAGCCCTGCATCTAAAGCTGATAAATTGTATATAAATCAAATGCTGGAGCCCAACAAACCACCTCCTCCTCCTGAAAAATGCTCCCAGGAAATTGCCATCACAGATGCTTTACTTCATTAAGGGTTAACAGTTTGTTTGTAACATCCCTCAGAGAGACAAACTGCAAACTTTCTGATCTACAAACCCACTAATTTCTAAGAAAGCCAGAAGCAATCCAATTTACTGTGATGCTGAATAAATCTGTAAATTACCTAAATCATGGAGGGTTGAACTTGACCCCCTTATTATAAACTATCCTTTGATGAGATTATAAATAATAAAAAATAGGCACAACAAAGTAGCTCATGCTTGAAAGCACTACTGAGGTTCCCTAAAGCCAGGTGCTCCCATAAACACCTGGAGCAGGGAGTGGGGAGAGCCTTTCTTAAATAAGACATAAAATCCTCTCCTCAAGTTGCCAGAAGAAAAGTTGGTATCTGGGAGACAGAGCCACTGGTGGATATACACTGAAATATTCATCCACAAAGAGGTGAATGACATGATGGAAAATCCTAAAAAGCATCGGGAAATAATGAACAGTGCTTTCCCCAAAGGCATAGCTGGAAGTTGTAACAGGATTTCCCCTCTCTCTTCTTTCCAACTTTATCAAATATTCTGTCCTCATCTCCCTTGAAGGGTGAGTGACAGCTGGGGGAGGATTCTCAGCAGGAACACTCATCTGATCTGCTTGTGTACCTCAGTAAAAATGTCACCAACCAAACTACATTTGCTGAAAACCTGAAAAATTCTGTCCTCCAGCAAAAAAAAAAAAACAAAACCTCTTTTTCTGCTTGTATTGTTTTCCTTCCCAACTCATTCAATTTTAAATCAGGATAAAGTTTATCTTAATGACTCCTCTGGAATACCACCACCAGCTCTGGTGTGAACTGCCCCACAAAAAGATACCTTGACAAAAGTACTTTTCAGGCCACCTTTCACAGCCACAACAGACATGGTTATATTTTGCCAGCTCAATCTCACTAATTTATTTTTTACAGTCCAAGAGCTTCCATTTGAGTTTTAATCCTGCACCAAAATAAATATAATTCAAGAAAGTTTCTACTGTCTGAGCAGGGAATATTTTGGGGCTGCTGATTCATATCATTAGCTGCCATCCTTCTAAAGCACTGCAGAAATCACTGCAAAAATCTCAGAACCAGATGTTTTGACATTCTATGCATTCCAGGCACCCTTATTACTTTTTAAAACTTGATTAATTGAAATAACTCCTCTATTAAAATGTCATTTTTAAAACATGAGAAATAAGACTTGATAAGGAAGAGGTTTGGATTTTTCCACTAGACATGTTCTTAAAGATAGACTGATAAAGTTCTGCATAAGAAATTAAAAGTACAGATTTAAAAAACCCAACAGAGTAGGCATGGAATGAATTACACCAGCTTTTAGGTTCAGAATATCACTCCACAATTTCACTTCATTTCACATGTAATTGCAAAGGAGGGGAAGAAGTTTAAAGCCTGAAATGGAACGTGCACCTAGATTTTTCTCTCTCCTTAAAGTGTTACAGGACAGTGTTAGAGGAATTTTACATTTTTGTTATATAAAACATTTCAGACTGTGCACTACATCCAAATAAAGTCTGACAGCAAGCTGCAATAGCATTCCAGTTCTGTGGATCCTGGTGTTTCAAGGAACCAGTCGCAAAAAAAAAAGCTGGGAAGGAAGGCAGGCAAAAACGCAGAAATCCTGCTGCAGCCTAGACAAAAAAAAAATATATATAGGGAGAAAAAGAAATAGCTCCATAAGGCAAATGCAATTATTTTGGATGACACAGACATGTAAAACTGCTGGGAATAAAAGGGAGTATAAAAACAGGGCAGCACTACAACTAGTTGTTTCTTCAAGGAAGAGGAAAACCTGAGAAAAGGCCTACCTTGCCAGCACCAAGTTGTGTCTCAGATACAGCCATTCATTCACAGATTCTTTTGGGGGAACAGAATTCTTTATGCACCAGCCTAGAACCATCTGAACTGCAGCATACTTGAAATACCAAAGGATTGATAAATATTCAATCTAGAACATAAAAGTACTTCTTATGAGTTATTGCTATATGCTTCTCAAAAGCATTTTGAAAGTGATTGCTTAATTCTAACCTGTTTCTACTTAGTTTTTTTCCAAAATGAGCCTCTCCAACTCTGGCATTGCTGCACTTTCCCCTTCACCTCCAGGAGTGCAGGTGTTGCTGTCTTCCTTTAAATGTCTTACCCCACAAATAAGCTTTGGAGGCCAACATCCTGCTGAGCAGTTACCAGGAATGGGGTATCCATGGGGAACTTTCCAGCCTGCCATGATCTCAGTACTCACAGCTTTTGCTCCTGTTGCTGTCCCTCAGTCACAGCGAGTTAGGTCCAAACCCAAAGTGTGACAGGGAATGTCAGACTGGGGGTTGGGGTTGCTCTCTATGCAGTCACACATATGGCACATTCCACAGGGAGGATGAAATTCCAGAAAGCCACAAAGGGAGGAGCTAACTTGGCACAAAACTCCCCAAGTTGGCTTGTGGAGTCTATAAGGAAAGGGCATAGGCACAGTGGGGCTTGAAAAGATTGACCTGTAGAGCCATTTTGTGCAATTTTCTGTGTTTCTCAAGCACAAACACCCAGCCAAGATGAAAGCGTGGCTCAGGACATTTTAACCCTGAATTTAAGGACCCTCAACTTGCAAAGGTGCTTAATAAGGGACAACTTACTCATTACACCTTGAAAAGGGGTATTTGGTGATGATTCTTCTTATTGTTGTGGAGTTCTTAAGGCAAGGATTCTCTTGTTGAGATGCTTCTGCTTTCTGATCCAACAAAGATAATCTTGTCACCCAGTGTTTGACAACCCTGAAAGGAACACTTCCCATACAACCATCAGCATGCCTTTCCCTATGCTTGGAGAAATCCCTTCCCTAGCCCTGGGAAAAAAACCAAAAAACAGGTGCTGGGGTGAAATCCACTCAGTTAAAACTTCAGTCTGTTATAAGGAGATCAAGACTATGTCAACAGGAAATTTCTAGCACTGTGCCAGCACCAATTACTGCTCTGTCACCCACAGCCAGAGATCTGATCATTGTCATAACTCTGCATGATATCCAAAACCATGGAGATGGATCTGCCCTGACAAATGTCCTAGAGAGCAAAATGGACAGTGGCAAACTCCTGCCACCTCTAACTTTTTCAAAAGACACAACTCTCTCTCTTTTGTTGTGTCCTCTTAACCATGTTTTCCTTACTTATAGGTCTTATTAGCTGCAGCATTCCCAGTCTGTATTAAATGTGAAATCAGGCAGGAGCTCCATCTTGATGGAAAAAGGTTCCATCAGTGAGCAAAGCCCATCTGCAAAAACATCCTTCACCTCTTGCCTACATTTTCTACCTTTCCATAACTGGATAAACAAGGTTCCAGTAGGATTATGGTTAAAAAACTCAGGACTGCCTCTGTCTGGAACATAACGAGCAGCACCTCAAGGCTGAGCCTGAAATGCCAAAATAAGAACCCTCTCAGACAGAATTAACCTCTCCCCCCAACAACCATCCTCTGGGTGAGATCTTCTAATAACTGACAGGAACAACAACGCTCAAATCTGACTTGGTAACAAAAGAAATTTTATAGAAATCTGAAAAAATGGGCTTAGGAGGGTCTGTAAAAGAAATTTTCATGTTGTTCCTACTGAACACAGGATTTCTACTGGTGGCAAAGCAGATCTGTTTGGAACTTTGGCTGATGCTTAATAACTTCATAGATCAATGTAGGGTTTAATTGATGGAACAGATGGAACACAGACTCTGCAGCATTAAAGAGTTGTACTTAATGCATTGGAATAACTTGGGTTTAAAATGTTCCCATAATTGTCTGGGCACTTTAACCGTGGCATGAATTCTGTCAGATATTTCCACTCATCCTGATTTAAAAGTTTTTAATACAAGTTCGTAAATTTGATGAGATCTGGTTTTCATAGTGGGGGAAAAACTTACAAATTTAACAAAAAGCAGAAAAGTTTTAAAGAGAGCTGCTCTTGGTAGGACAGAGAGCTAACAAAGGTAATTCAGTTGTGAGGTCAGCAGGACATACTGAAGTCCTCCCTGCTCACCAAACGATCTGAATATGCATTTAGATCATTTGATGAAAACCAGTGATTTGCACAGGGTCTCCACACTCAAGAACAACACTGAGCAAAAGAGCCAGATCCACACAATTAAGGATAAACATATCTTAAAATTACATTTTTGCTTTGGATTTCTGTCCACCTTTAACATTAATTACAGGTGATTATGTATATACAAGAGGATGGTGAATTTGTTGATAAACCAAGATTTCTCTTCAAGGCTGATTGACCCTGAGGTTTTCTTGAAAAATTACTCTTTCCAGCAGCACACAATAAATGGTAATTTGATAATAATCTCTCATTTATATCAGTGTAGATAGACAAAGTTGGACCAGGCCTGATCAGTCTTTCTCTGAAGAAAGACCAATAATTCATATAAAGTGGCTGGGGCAGGCATGAGGGTGGCAGGGGGATGTTGAATGTTGAAAAATAATATGAACCTACTCTAATTTGCTATTATTCTGCTTTCAAGCTACAAAAGGCAAAAAGGCAATGCACTTATTACAATTTGCTTCCCATTACGTTACTGTGAATTACAACATTTGCTATGGAAAATAAAATAGGGACTGGGAAATTCATTCAGGCTGGATTATATCTTCTGGACAAAGATAAAAACACACAAGTTGTGCAGGGCCCAGAGTGGCCTCAGAGAGTCTCAAATGACTGAAAAAATACCCAGCCATCTCCACCAGCTCCTCTTATGGTCACTGTAGCACTGTTTTTGTGTGATCCTCGTTCTCTGAAATCCCAGGCAAGGATGGGCTCCCTGTGCTGTTAATTGCTTTCCAGTGGGATAAGTCCACACCACCTCCAGGTACAATCCTGTGGGATGGTTCCTATAGTCTAAGCCATTCCATTGTGACATCACATCAGCCCCAGTCCACCCTCATCTCTCTGAACATCTGTCTTGTAAACAGCACAAATAGGTTGACATAAAATGCTCTAAAAGGGCAGCCTTAAAAGACTCCAGTCCTCTCCAGCCATATTTTAGAGGCACCAGATGCCTGAGAAGCACAGAACTCCGACTGATTTCCAGTACAGTGAGATGCTTGGGAGTTTTCAAATCCCATTCAGCATCTTTTGCATCTCCAGGAGCACAAACACCAAAATAATCTGTTCCAGCGCCCTTTAAGACGGAGACTCAATATGGCATTTCTCCTTGGGGCTGATCAGCACAGCACAATTACAGGGTAAGTGTCGAGTTATCCTTTCCCTTTACAGACATTCCCACATGGAAAAAGGGGTACCCAGACAGCTCCCCCCTCACACTCCAGCACAAGGTGTAGGTGCCCTACCCAGAAAACCCTGTCTGGTTTTGTACAGAACTGAGAGGAGCTACCAAACCACTCACTCATCCAAAAGCACAGCTGTGGTTATCTATGGATAAACTACCCAGGAATTAGATCACTCAGAGCAAGGAATAAACAGGATAAACACCTCTGCAAAGGTGCTCCACAACCCTTTGAGACACACCTCAGCTATCTTGTTCTGCCTTTCTTACTCCATCACGTTTTTATTTTATTTTCAATGAGCAAACAGCAACCCCCACTCCACCCTAATAACAATGGTAATTCACAATCAAAGGGACACCCCCACCCACATGAACATTCACATTCATCTGCCCTTCTTATGCAGGTAAAGTTGTTTTATGGGTTGTCCATGGAGATACAGCCAGACTCTGTCCCTGCACGGCTTCCAACAGAACACAGACCCAGTGTAAACGGTGGCATTTCCATTCTGTATGAAATTCAATGGGCTTTTCATCTTCAGCATAAACCTAAACTAGTTCAAGTCAGTGTGTGGAGGCGCCTCTGCCACGAAGCAGCAGTTTGCATTAAAATTACATTATATTGTTTTGACATGTCTGAAGCAAAGGTTAAAATCATCTTTTTGCTGGACATTGTTTCTGTAATATTGCCCCGCTGCAGAGCCGCAATACGAACAAGCCCAGGATGATGTGAAATATTTCTGATACAAATTTTATTTTTATGTGAAACTATTCAAATGCTGCTGTACAACATGAACTACGTGAACCAAATCAAATCCTCAGGTCAATTCCTTCTTCCGAGTGCTCCTTAGATAACAAAGTCTTGTTCTGCGAATCTGTTCAATATATTAAAGTTGATTCACTCGGACAGTGTGTAAGATATAATACATTAATCTGGGCCATTTCAATTTCTGAGGCTGGGACTATAAAACTGGTGTGCTGCATATCTAATTTTTTTTGAATACCTGATTTATGCATCCCTCTGATGCATAGTGTCGATGGTATGGCGGATGCGGCTGCTGCATTAACAACGGGCTGCATCAGCACTCAAATCTTATCTTGTTAAATCAGACAAATGTAGCTCAATGAAAAGGAAGGAATAAATGCCTGGGATGGTTGAAAGGAGTGAATTTTAATCCTGTTTGTTAGGGGACTTTCATGGTGGGGGCTGAGTGACTGAGGCAGCAATGTCCACCAAGAGCTTATGGGACTATGAATTATTACATGCTCACACATACAACTACACAGGCAGAGTATACAAAGACACAGTTTTTCATTTTATTCCTACACAGACAGGTAAACATCCCCACACTGACATCCATCCAGATACAAACACACACCTCTATAAAACTGCAGAAATAAATGCCTTTTAGGAAAAGCAGGTCTGTATTTACAAAGTGTAAATTTCCATCTCTCTCGGATTCACGAACAACCATAATTGCTTCTTTGTATATAATTTATCATTTTATGCAGGGAAACAAAAGTTCTCACATGGCCTAAGTATCCAGGAATAGATTAGATTTTCAGAGTAATTATATATGTTTATATGATTTTGTGGCTGGATGGAGTACTGCCAGCACTCTATACACAGTCAATATTAATTCTCAAGGAAAGAAAATGTTCCTGTGTTTGCACAATCAACGAGACCTTTAGAAATAAGCTTTCTGCCAGCCAAGGAAAAGTTTCAATGGCACACACTCTGCAGCCTCAGCCAAGGTATTTACAATAAATGGAAGGTATTGTCAGAATTAATTCTTAGGGAAGACCCTGAATCACTCACTGTAATTTGAATTCCCTTCTCTAGTAAACTCTCCTATTTCACCCTCAAACCATAACTTGGTAAAGAACCTTCGTTTGTCTATAAAAATGTATTTGGGAACAGACAAGGATCACAAAGCTCTTCTACAAGGCAATGACCAAGGCAGCCTCAGCAGCATAAAGCCTCAGTCCATTCAAAGCCAGCTTAAACCCGGAATTATTTAATTGGCTCAAAAGTAAAATTTCATGCCCAGTAAAACACTGGAAATATATAATTTAAGGAGGCATCAGTTCAGTACTTATTACTTTCCCCTCGGCACAAAGACTAATTATAACAGGAAAAAAAGTCACAAGATCCCAATCTCTGCAGCCTTTTCCTGTGTCCAAAACTACAAGGTCAGTTCTCCATGTGTGCCATCATTCCTGCTTGTTATGATGTCACAAACACTGTTTGCAATGATGCAGTACTAACCAGGAGCAGGACTGAAAAGAGCCTGTTGTGCTCAAATACCCTCTGTGACAACTCTCCCATCTGCAAAAGACCTGGGACCAAACCCTTGAAAAGAAATGGGAATGCTGTGTTTCATTTCCCTTCCGACTGAATGCAAAGACTCATCTTTAAATTCATGAAATATAAACATTTTAGAGTTGCTATCTTGAGTTAACTTAACCCAGCCTTAAAAAACCCAGTAGTAAAGAGAAGCGGTGATGGAGGCCCAGACATGACAGAGCCAATTCATTACAGACCTTTTTGATCCAATTATCCCGGAGAGGTTGGAAACGCAGCCCAAATATGTGCAGTGCAATGGAAGAGAATACAAATAAAGGCCACGTTCCCACTTTTCCTAAAAGTTCCAATGGCTTCCCTCTATCCCATGCATATTAACAAGTGTGCAGATCAATTCAAAGCCTTATTTCTCTTTTGAGAACAAAGGGGGAAAAGCACATTTATACCAACAATTCCAAATCTAAGTAAGAAATACGAGCTAATGGTTCTGACTGCTTTGGAGAACTGTGCTGCCAGGAGGGAAGGCTCCACTTCCTCACTGGCCCAGTGTGCACTGCACAGTCTGTAAAGCCAGGAGACATCTTCCAGGGGGAGACAGGCAATGCTCTTTGTGTGTTTTTGGGGATTTACACTCAGCATCGTGGGCATTCCAGGGAGGACACGCCTGAAGTCCTGGTGGCTGCCAGCCCCGACCACTACTCCTGTTCCCACTGAGAGCCCTGCTCAGGAGAAGCAGCAGAGAGACACAAATAAAACGGCCAAACCTTGGGGAAAATACAGATAAAAAGAGCAAATCAAGATAATTGTGTTAATTATCATAATGAAGGGAAGATTTTGTGTTTGCATGAAGGCTCCCCCTCCCCCATCACGTGCACGGTGTTACGGCCGCATCCAGGATAAATGAGTTCCAGGCCTGGCTGGATGCTCAGATTTCTCTCAAAGTGGCTCCATTACATGTGTGTCCCCCAGGGTCAGACTGCATTAGCAGACTCCTTTATTCCATACATGATGAACTAAGGATTTGGCAGAGTGTGTTCCAAAAATCCATTTGCGACAGGCATTTGCAGTGTCCGCAGGAACTTCAGCTCACTTTAAAGTTGTTTTTCTTTTTTTATTATGTTTCCATTGGTAGAAAAATAAACCCTGAAATGTCTTTGAGGTCATGGAACAGTGACCCCATTGGCTGGGCTAATTTGATTGTGCCAGAACAATAGCACTGTACTCCTCTGCCAGCCAAGTGCATGCTAATTATGCGATTTGCCCTTGATAAGACCTTGGTGGGTCATTCAGCAGTTGTGATCTGTCACTGACTTCTAATCATGTATTATCGTCTGGGTGAGTCAGAATGGTACCCTAAGCTTTCTGTCTTTACAGCAATGTGGCACTCTAATTACCTTATGCCAAGTGGATATGCAGAGACTGAATTAAGTGATCACTGTGATTGCCTTCAAAATCTTCTCTTTATCCTTTGTGTTGCTTCTCTGCAATTTACATTTTAAGATGCCGAGAAGCTTTTGGTGAGACTGAAAATGCCACTCTAAAAAAAATTATGATTTTTTAATTTCAAAAAATAAAAAGGCATCTCAGCAATTCCTAACAGTATTTAAATGCTGCTAAACAATGTACCTCAATAAGACTCTCTCAGTAAACTTGTTGGAAATTATAAGACATCCTTTACCTTTTAATCTGCAGCCAAAAGACAAACAAAAGGAAAGCAGTCTAATCTCTTCCCAAAGTTTTAACAATGCAGGATTGCTATATAATATGTAAAAATTAATTATAAAGTGCTTTTCCACATTGATTCTGCCTGTGAAGTGTACACATAGATATAACAAATACTACAGAGCAAATGTAAAGCTGGAAAAGCTTCATTGCTGCGCTCATCATGTTCATTAATAACAGCAAAGATGGGTTGATTGACCCTGGGAGTCTTAGAAATTCAGGCACAAATTCCTCACCTATTGGCTCAGGGTATTCGGTGGCAATTCAAGGGATCTATGAAAATGCTCCATATTTCAGCCAGGACTTTAAAAACCAGGGGTTGTAGCTGCACTCTGCTCCCCTATTGTTGCATAGCAACTCTCAAAAACTACAAAGCAATCTGTTAGGGTAAACCAGTCCCATTAACATCTGTATTTGCCCCAAGAATGATCTAATGCCTTTTGCAATGAAAACGTGGTGATATGTCTGGAGGTTAAACAAACAAAGTAATGATTTATAAAATTTGATAAGATGCATTTGTCTGAATCAGCCTTGAAAATATGAACTCTGAAGTGCTACTTGAAAGTTGTCATAAAACAGACAAAAAAACCTCACAATGTTAAATTTATAGTACCACTAACAGAAAATAAGGATTTTCAAAGCTTTTCTGTATTGTCTGTCAATATTGCAGTATAATTTTTTTTATAGAAACAAACTGGGGGGGGGGGCAAAGTCAATAAAAACCATAAAGCACAATTGAGAAAAAATTGCAAGCCTTATTTTCCTCAAATCACATGATGCCCAAGCAGCATTATTTGCTGAAACCTTGGTTTGTTTGGGGGTGGGAGGGGGGAGGAGAGAAAGAAAAAGAGAGAGGCAGAGTGCCTAGAAATAAGATGCAGTCCCTGGGTGGCAAAACAAAAGAGCCCAAGAAAAAAAAAAAGAAAAAAAAGCTG